AAAGTACTTTAAACTGTATAAATAAGTTACCTGGCAATTGATTTACATCAGCCAATCAGACAAATGTCTGTCTATGAGTATAATATGGGGTGTTGCACATTAAAACAGCCCTTTTTTACAATTTTTTGAAAAGTGAGTTTTTATTAGATTCGCATAAATTTTGACATAATTGACATTTTTCAATTATAAATGAAAGTCGATTTGCATAATAAAAAATTAGGATAATGTAAACGAAAGATTACATGAGATTCAACACATCACGAGATTACTCGATAGTCACCTGTCACTTTTAACCAATCAAAATCGTGAAATTTGATTAATCCCGGATCAGTCCGAAAATCAAAACAAATGATTAGTGGGTACTAGAAACAAGTTTATTTTTTCGGAAAATCAAAAAATCCGTGATTTACGTGACATCATGACCTGCAAACGATCATTTTTATACAGTAATAGATTTTGTTATGCTTTTACTCCACGTTTATATTACCTTTTTGTTAGAATGCGTCGTGTGAATATTAGTAAAACTAAAGACCCTATTGCCCCACATGCGGCAAGGTTAGTTTCTTACATGAATACGCACCCAGAAACAATTCTCGCATATGCAAAGTATTTTGGAAAAGTTCAGAACGCCGTTAGCGCGCGTATGACAGATATGGATTCTGATGAATTCGTTGTGTTAGCAAGGGAATCAGATGGGACAGAAAATGAAGTTCATATTAGATTTAAAAATAGTTTGAAAAGTTATGAGCAGGTTAGGCCAGTATTGACTGATATGGCCAAAGAGGCAGAGGAGGCTTTATCTTTGGTATGTACTGTGTAAATGCAAGCTTTCATTTGTACACTTCGATCTTATCTAATCCCAATTTAACTTTTAGCCCAGTACAAGACCTCCGCCTATGCCATCTGAAAATTTTACGAATACTCATACCCCTTTTAATCCACCAGAATCACCAAAATTCTTTGGAACCTTGATAGTAATTGTTTTCTTCATTGTTTTAACATATTATCCTTCTCCGGCACCAGAAGTTATCAATACTTTGAGGTCAATATTTGGACAAGAATTTCTACGAGGCTTTGTTCTATTTATTGTTGGTTGTCATATTATTGAAGCCTTGATAGTCATTTTTGTTTTGGCGAAAAGAGGGGAAAATGATTTAATGACGTGGGTACTGTGGCTTGGAAGTACAATACTTGTTGGTCATTGTTGGTATTTATGGATCCCGAAAAATAAAAGATTTTCTGAGTAAACATTTGCGCTTGTATCAAAAAGCTGACGTATGTGTGTACGTATATGTATAAACTTTCCATCATACAATCATATATACGAAAACCACACTATGTCACAGTTAAGTACCTAAGAGTGAACGGATTTTGTGAATTGGACCTTTTTTGATTTCTCTAAAAACAATTTAACAGTAACAATCCCTTGAATCTTAATAGTGGTCAAAATTCTACAAAGTATCTTAAAAATAAAAAAATCAATTATGAGAGTTGAGTATAACTAATTACCCACTCGCTAACTAATGATAACCGAAAGACAATGATCATTCACAAGATAGCAATAGATGTACAGTACCATCACAACTAGTTGGTCACTATTACCGACTCTTTTTCAAATTTCTGGATGTCTAAAGCGGACTTATAATAAAAATTATAATAAAAACATAAATTTTAAACTCCACATTATTCTCAACTTACATATTAATTTAATATCAAATTTTAGGGTTAAGCATATCAAAAATAGTAGATTAAGGTTATTTAGAACACTTTTTTAAATTCCGTGAAAAGAAGAAATTTCCTAATTTGAAGATGTGATTACGTGTAAAATTTTACGCTGAACAAGTTTACTTAGAAGGCGAAAATGGATTATATTAGTAAAAAAATAAGTTAGCTATGTATTAACGTTAAAATTTTTAGTTTATCTATGTATAAAATTTTCGCTTACTAAGACAATCAATTTTTGTCTTCTAAGTAAACTTGTTCGGCACATAAACTTGCATACATTTATTTGTCAAAATGCGCTTTTTCAACCTTTTTATAACTCTGTATAATTGATTAAACTGTTAGGTTAGTCAACAAACCCAACTTAATAATGTCAGCCTGATCAGTTGATCCGGACATACCTATTTGTTCTATATATTACAAAATACACAGATCAACTATATCCATTACTAAATATATATAATTTAAATAGAATATAATTTACTCGCAAACTCTTTGTTCGAAAATAATTTACCCATATGAACAATAATAGAGCACCTGAATATGGTAAAATTCTGGTAGTCTACAGATTCGTATTTCCAACTCAAAATGAAACTAATCTTTTTTTTTTTTTGATATTAAATTATTGTAATTTGTAACGATTCCAGTCGGGTATACCCAAAAATGCGTGCAGGCGGTACATATTTCATTTCTCATCTGTTTGCATTTAATTTTTTAATGAATATTCCGTCTTTAAGATCAGAATGATCCATCCAAAATTAGTAGATATGCCAAAATATTGGACACTGGGAAGGAATCTTATTGAACTATTTTTAAAACCTCTCTCATAACTTCCATTTGATACAATTTACCTAGATTCTTGAAGTCAATTTCGAGCTGATTCGCGTTTGTATCGATTATCACACCAATAAGTGGCCAAATGAAGAATCGAATATGTATGTAAATTTATAAAACTTAAACTTCAATAATAATATTATGTTATTTAATTATACTTTTTGTTCAGATATAAAATGCGTCTTCAAACAAATTTGGCCTATCTTGCAATGGTAGCTGATGAATACAACGGGAATCCTCGAAACGTGAGTTATAGTTTTTAGAATGTGTATCTAATAATAGCTTATAGATCTATTGATTAAAGCCCTAATAATTAATTGTAGAAAGTAAAGCCCAAAGTACCTGATTTATCCCCTTTACCCGTTCCACGTGGTTCATGCGGACAAAGTCTTAACAATCTTATTCAACAAGCCGTTCAAATATTCTCTGACTATAAAAAATTTCATAGATCTGATGGCATTCCTACAACTATAAGTTCTAATGCAAATAATATCAGTCATACAAGCAATAATGTTACTAGTAATATATCGCCTAATACGATATCAGACGCGGGAGCATCCACCTCTCCCAGACAATATAAATTGCCGACTTCAAGCAGTATTATGGGTTCTGTGCTGCCGTCGTCTTCTCAATATCAACAAATGTACCAGAAGCAACAGCTCTCTCCACAGCAGCAAATACATCCTCCACAACAATTACAACAACAAATTTCACATCAACAGCAGCATGCTCAACAACAGCAATCGTCGAACCGATTCTCTGGATCTATAGCGCCATCCGCAACGATGGCTGCATCGTATCAGCGACATCCATCTTCGTTACAACCAAATATAATAGCTAATAATAATAATATGACCGATTATGCAATAATGACAACAAATAATAATTCCGAACAATCTTATCAAGTGCTTCCTCCATTAGTCGGAATCGGTGGTATGTCAATTGGAGGCGCTGGGAACAGCAATGCTAACAACGGACAGGGCACAGGGATACTACCTTCTTTAATTGGTCTAAACGATCAATTTGCAATGCCCACATCACAGCAACAGCAACAACAACTCCAACAATTACAGAATGTAGGATTCACAGGCTTTATGAGTGGTGGTAATTCTGGGATGTCCAATAGTGCGGGGTTTGGCGCCACAAATGCTTTTGGTATGGTCCGATATCCGAGCGCTAATGGAAGTGGCGTGATGAATAACGGTGGTATCGGTAATAATGAAGCAGGGTTGGCAGGTAACAATAACATGGGAAACAATGGTATTGGTGTTAATTCTTTGCCAGGTAATGGTTACGGGAGTAATAGTTTAGCAAGCAATACCTCAGGACTGCCAAATATGTTAAATCACGATAATGGAATGTAATACTTTTTAAGAACAATATATAATAAAATAGATCAAGATAGTGTAAATAATAATAATAATAATAATTATTATTATTTAACAAATATCATCAAGCATTTGTTTCTTTTTAATTGTATCAATTAATTTTGCAAAATAAGAACTAATTATACTATTTATCGGTTTTGCAATTACCAACTGTTATTCACATGAAACGATTATTTTTAAATTCGCACCGATCTAAAATATATCTGGATCAATATGTGAACTTCTAAACGAAAAATCAATCAATTTCGTCAAATGCTGTAAAGCCTTTATTTAGTAGAACATGGCGTGGCGCACGTGATCTTATTGGTCGAATTTTACACCATAACTTTCGGCGCTTAAAATTGGTCGCATTCTTTGTTAGTTGGCAGCCACTTGTGTGCCCAACTCAAAAATGCTACTTGGATTATCCGGGTGTAACCGAGAATAGATCAGTCGCGCAACCAGCATTCCGAGTTGGAATGGGTCTCCTCATAAATAAAATTGTCTAGCGCTAGGTGATAATTTTGCTATATCAGTCATAGGATATGTTAACGTACAAGGGTTTAGAATGCTATACTTATTTGATCAAATGAAAAAAAAAATATATGAACTATTTTTTAAATTTTGAATACATTATATAGGGTTTGTTTTATAGCTTAGTATATATATATACTGTATATAGTTAAGTTATTAGACTCTTACAAGTGGTTCAAATTGGATAAAGGAAAATATACACTGTATATAATTTAAAATAAAAAACCAATAATTATTAAACATAAAATTTATAATAATTAAGTAAAAGACTAGATAGAAATTTATTAATTATAAAAATTAGTACTAAGCTTATATAGTAAAATATATATTATTTTTAAAAAAATGCTATACATATAATAATAAAAAATAGAAAAATTATATTTATAACACCGTGTTATATAACACCTTATATAGAATTTTTCAAAAATCTTAAATATTTCAAAATTTTCTAGAAAAATGCTCCTCTCGCAATTTTACACTAGGCTAACCCTAACCCTAACCCTAACTCTAACCCTAACCTAACCCTAAACTTTAGTTGCAACAGCATAGTCTAAATAATAGGGTAACACGGAGTTATATAAATATAATATTTCTAAAAAATGACCTTACGGTATCATGTGCCGTAAGGTCATTTTCAAGGCAAAGACCCCATATAATATATATACCAATATATATAATTTATTTATCTGCTAAATCATAGATTGATGTAACTATTTTTTAAAAATTATATGAGCAGTGTTCTGAGAAAAGGGCCCAAATTGATAAAAAAATCTTTACAAAAAAATCAATTATCTCGTAAACTATTAATCAGAATTGCGTGGTTTTGGTACCATCCGATTCATCTCATCAAGAGTAATCGAATGGTACCAAAATTACACAATTCTGATCAATAGTTTACGAGATAATTGATTTTTTGTAAAGAATTTTTTTTATCAATTTGGGCCCTTTTCTCAGAACACTGCCCATATATTTAATTCGATGTATAAAAGAGAACCAAAGCATGCCCTCCCAGACATGCCCAAAAATTTTCATATTCCGAACTCTAATACTAACAAATTTGGCTAAAAAATTTTTTTAATATATATTACTATTTAATATAATTACATAATATGATCCTAATATATCAGCTACGCGTCCCTTTCGATCTCGTATAAAGGTCTAATATCAACGGGTATTCCTTCACGTTCCAATTTGCTCAGTGCATCTTTAACTTCTTTTCTCACTTCACCATACATGTCGACAAATTCCTTTACGCGCTTTTTGTCACCGTCTCCTTGCAATATTAAGATATCCCTTGTCAAATTAGAAATTGCTGTTGCGACAGTGTCAAAATTGACACTAAAACGCGCAGTTATTGGATCATAGATGAATCCGCCTTGTGATAAAATATAGTTTAGTTGTACACATTGGCCTAATCCATGTGCCTTTTGAAATTACAATATCGTTAAGACAATGTAAAAAGAAAATAATATAAATATATATGCTAGTCATATAGTTCACCTCTTTTATGCCGAATCGAATAGATCTAAACGCCGAGGCAAGATATGTTACATAAAATTGTTGAATTGATGGCGCAGTTAAAAGCCCAATTTTAAGTAAATGAGCAGCCGCGAACAAACCGGTTATATCTGATATAGATGATGTAGAGTTAGAATACACTAATAACGAAATAAATCTACACACCAGCTTTGGCTTCTTCGATGACTGAATGATATTCTTGTAAACGTGATCTGACTGTAACTGGATTAGGCCCAATCGTATAGTGTGGTCCGTTAGAATGAGCTACTTCGTGGAGAAGAATGTGTGTCTATTCGAAAACATGTATTATTCTGAGATACTGAAAAAAAAAAACACACACAAGCAAGAAACCTGTACTAGGTTTTGTCGATCAAGATCGACAGAACTATGATAAATATTTTTTTATTTATATGAAGCTACTCGTGTTCTAATAAAAAGATACCTCTTATGATTTTGGTATAAGACTTGATCTTAGTTTTATCTAACCCAGGGTTGTAAAAATTACGGTAATTTGGTGGTAAGCACCAAATGACAAGTTAGCGGAAGATTAACTTCGAAGGTATTTATTGTCTACATCCCGAAATTTTACGATAATGACCGGACTTTTCAAGCAGTCATTGCTGCATAGAGATTATACCCGGGTAGAAATTTTATTATACATCTATAATAAATTACCTGGTTAGCCGAGCAATTTATTAATACTCGGGTAGAAATTTTCTTGACGAGTACAATCTCTAGGCATTGACCACCAAAATTTATGGCAACTTACCGGTGACTTACTAGTGTTGTAAGCCACATGACTTTAGTCGGCTAGCTAAGCCAGCTGACTAAAGCATCGGCTAAGCGGCTGGCTAACATAGTCTACTTTTTTCAAAGTATTCATTTTCCTTCTCAGAATTTATCGTAACCCTACTATTCGTGAATCTAGTCAGCTAAGCCGGCTTAGCCTGCCCTAGTCGGCTATGACTTACCGTTGTAAGTTGCCACTAACAACTCTAACACTAACTTAAAATCAGTTTAATGCAGACCGAAATCAATCAATCTAAATCAAATGATTGACCAAACCTGGCATAGATTTCTTATTTGCGTTAAAAAACATGTATATCAAATAAACTTACGAAGAATGCATCAAACGACAAATGTTGAAGCTGATTTTCGGCTATGGTTGATCGGGCGATTGGCTCCAAAATATTATGATATTTTCCTATATTTAAAAAATCAATTACTTGTAAGTTATTGATATAATAGATAAATTATCAGAATAAAGAGTTATACCTTCTTGTACATTCTTAATTATAACTAATTTTGACCCACCGCGTTTAATAGCTTCTTCCTATTATAAAATAATCTCTAAATAAACTGCACTAATTAACTTTTTTAAAAGAATGCTGAAATTTTACATCATTGGGAAGATTGTATGCAGCTGTCATAGGAACTGTTGGATAAAGACAAAATGTATCAAATTTAATAAATTACAGGAAGTAATTAAACTGAAATGGGAGCATAGTCTAAATAGTTTGACACCTGCAACATCGCCAGCGGCGTATAATTGATTCACCACAACAATTGGAGTGGCTCTCAAATCATTGTTTTTATATTCAGGTGGTACTGGCAGATTATTTTCTATTTCTTGTAAACTATTTGAAAACTTTTCCAAGACTTTAGAAAATTCAAAGTCTCGTGCGTGAATGTAAAATTCAAAGGCGCTTTTTGCGGAGAACAGTTCGTCCGTGTATACTTCATAAGGTCCCGCAGTAACTTAAAATAACTACCATATAAGGTCGAATCTTCAGGAAATTTCGAAGTACTATAATTAACTTCGCATACCTTCAAGGCGACTCTCTTTGCTAATGTTCAACCAATCGACCTCACTTTCCAAATACTCGTTATTCAAAAATGCTTCAGCCCTTGTCCTTAAAAATCTGCTCAAAGATTCATCTTCGACTGATTTTGAACAATCCTGCTGCTTCGTCTAATAAATCTTTATATTCATCGGAATAAGGACTCAAATACAATTCGCCTCGCGGTTCTTTTCGCTTAACAACATGATAAAACCCTTTAGCCTTGGCTTGTTGTCCTGGCTCAAGGGTTCCAACCCATGATTCGAATTCTTCTTTTGTCATATCTTCAGGATAAAAATTTCCACCCTCAGGTTTGTGAGCTGGAAGGTTTGGAGGATCAGATAAGACCAAACCTTCAACACGATCCCATGGCCCTTTCAGCAAATTGAATGCTAGTAGTGATCTTTTGTCTTGTGGCTTGGTGTTTCGGAGTTGGTCAAGTAGAGCCTCATTGCCTTTCCATTTTTGACGAAGGTAGATCCTTTTGTCAAAAAATAGACAGAATTTGATAAAATGTAAAATGATACTTTGTAAACTTATTCAGTGAGTTAAAACACACCTGTCGATCAACTTCCCAGCGGCAACTAATTTAGAAATTGCAATTTTTTCATTTTTTGTAAAATTTGTTAAATCCGCTCCTAAAGAAACCGGAGCATATCTAGAAATAATTCTACTAATGGCGTCTTCAATAGTTGGATTCACCGCCATAATCGAATTATCAAAGCCATGCCGATAAGCCCATATATACGATAGGCAATCATAACCATTTCGGGTTTGCAAACGCACTGTAACTATAAAAAATTTTACGTAACACAGTGACTCTTTCCATGATATCATTTTTTAGTAATAGATTCCACGGGTGTCGACTTGAAAGTATTTAAAAAAAAACTCAACAAAAAAAGCATGATAGAAAAATGTTGGCTTCAAGTAGAACTCGCTACGTATTTCTAATTCACGAAGATATGAGCGAGTTAGTGCTAGGTCAGCGAGCTATTAATATTCGAAATATTGAGTACAGTATACTTATAAAAGTTAATTTTTCTTTTGGCTGACTAAAGACCAACAAAAGTTTTCATCCTTATTTTTTTTCCGATACATTTATCGTATCAATTTACTGTAATACTTAATCGATACCGAATTTGGTTTCTTAAAATAGGGAAGCTACTGGTGCGCGGATAAAAATTGACAGAGATGGTAAGGAAGCAATTATTACCGGCACATATGGACAGTGTGAAACGGCTCAATCCCGAATGAAGCATTATCTAGAAGAAGAATCCGTGAAGCCAAGACCTAGTGTTTATCCTGACGTTGGTTATACTATTGTGGATTCGCAGTCGCCATCCAAAAACTCGCGAATTCGTTTTATTCAGTATATGGAGCGCGACAGTAATTCACACTCACACGGAAGGAACTTGTATTATATTCATTTATCAAACGAATCTCCACATTCGGATTTTATGAAGGATTGGGATATTCTTACCCCGGAAGTTGAATCGCCACATCAAGTAATGAAAAATCTTGAAGAATTTATGCCTAGCCCCTTTATTGATATGGGGGATCACGGACTCTGGTTAGATGACTATGGTTCTTACTCGGCAAACAGAAGTCGTAGTAGCAGTAATTCTAGCAAAAGTTTCAGTACCGTTGGTCGTGAGACGTGTGAAGATGATAATGATATCACTGCATTGCTTCCGGTTCCTACTAGACAACGACCATTTACAGTTACTTCTTTGCTTCCGTATTGTCTTAAACAAATTTCCGATCGCGTTTCAGAAATGTTTCCTATACGTGAGGCAGGCTTAGAAATACATACAACAATATATTTGGGACAGGAATTATTTTTTAATATCCCGTTGGAACCTTCGAGCTTAGACATTAAAGAATGGTGTGGACTTAAACGTATTGGACATAAAGCTGTAAAGACTTCTTTTCAGCATCACGCGCCTTCAATTGATGGTCGAAGGATTTTGGAAGCGAATATGGGCTTTAAGGAAGCTTCACCTACACATCAAAACGAAAGGTGCTCTATAGACGTGTATTTCAATGACGGTGAAGAAAAGAAAATGAAACTTATCTATGACCAGATTTCTCGTATGAAGATCTCACCTTTCGATCTTTCTTATATAAGATTTAGAAAAATAAATTTATTTTTTATTTTATTTTATTTTATTTTTTTTTTAAATAATTAAACCGAATTGGCATTACAATCTATTAGATGAATGGACAATTAAAAAAGTTGTAAAGAATTTGCGACGTATTGTGCTTGTTGACCTTTTGTCAGGCAGCGAAGCACCGGATATAAGGTTTACTCTAAAAACCCAGACTCGTATTCCAATTGATCCCGACTTGAAGCGTCTTGTAAAAGACGTGCAAGATCCAAATAGGAACGAGTCTTTTATGGCGTTACGACCTACCGATTTCGCAGGCACATGGATTCATGTGACACGTGTCGAACAGGCGATCAGTAAAACGAAGTTTTTGTATATACATAATTTAGATTATTTTTGTGTACTATAGTATTTATTAATGTTACTTGAATAACATATTCAATCCCTCTTTTTTTTTATTTAACAGTAATGCGAATTATCGTATTAGCGTCGTACCAACCAAACAAGACGCGGATGCAGAAAGAGTCACTTACGGGAATAATATTACCCTTAAACATGTAGATTGGATTCGTATGTCTAGTCGGTTATCTAGTCTACCAATCAAAGATCAATATCAGCAACAATCATATCAAAATGAATATGATCTTATAAGTTTCGAAGATATACCAAAGCAAACAACCTCGGTTTCGAGGATACAAAAACAAAACATCGAAGATGACGTCTTCGGGATTGAATTTTTATCTAACCACATAAACGAAGGGTACAAGAGGGAAGAAAATATTTCATCCGAATTTAAGGGGATATTACAATGCACAATCCCCGCATCATTAGATTTTTCCCGTCAATTCATCCAACGTATTGGAGCATAGTGGACAATCAATGACTAAAGTTGGTCGATTTTTTTTTTAAATCGCCTGATTGATTTGATCGCAAAAAAAATTTTTTTTTGTATATATATATTGCAAATAATAAATTTTTTATAGTAAACCGTCGATAAAACTAAAAAATTCTGTTCCCTGAAGTTGCTTCTGGTAAATTAATTAAATATACCTATGATCGAGGGTGTTTACTGTAGAAGAATGTTTTAGTCGCTTACGTCATCAGTTATCCAGGCAAATAATTTGCCTGCAAATTTCTGACCAATGCACTTTTTGGGTAGATTAAATCACCCATTCGAGGGCTTCTGCCAATATTATTTTTGGGCAATGCATAGATCTTGTGTCCTTTGAATTCTTCAAAAGCCATTCTCCCTTGATTCTTTCATTATGGAAGTTGAGATTTATCTCTAAGCCTCTTGAATTCGTTAGTTTAGACAAAGTTATAAAAACCCTGTAATTTCTCTCATGTAAAAGGATATCCTACGGGATTCCAATATAACTCATATAATATATTGAATAAATCACTTTGATAAATCTTTAAAATTAAATTATTGTCAAATCACCATCGTCATGCCTCTGGTGAGTTGCCTTATCACTTTAAATCTTATATTTTCGTGCATATACATATTAAATGTATGATTCACCCCGTAACATTTGGTGGTGACTGTGAGATTCAAACTTCGTAATGTTTGCATTTTATACCTGTTTAAAAAATAAATGAAGAACAGTTTCAAAAATTTATAGATGCTATGATCAAGTCTGTTAGTAAAGAAACCAAAGCTCCACCAAAAGAAAGTAATCTTGTAAAGATTAAGTACTTTTATAGTACTGATGATGAGGATCCTTTTGAATGGTTTGATGATTTTGAAAGAGCTGCCAAAGCCAATAATTGGGCCAAAGATCATAAAGTGAAGATTGCTTCAAGTTATCTTAAAGAAATAGCAGCTGTATGGTATAAAGCAATTAAGAAAAGTATTGAATACTGGAAAGTAAAAGAAGAAAATAAAATGGACCAAAGTAAAAGTTTTTACTATTTGTTTGTAAAACAATTCACTCTTGAAGGAACATTAACATTATTGGCAGATGGAGTTATATGAATTAAAGCAAAAGGATACAGAAAAAGTGAATATCTATGTCATTAAATTTACAAAGTTACTTAATAGAATTAATATTAATAATAGTTTTTTAGATGGATTTATAGTTAGAATGTTTCTGAATAGTTTGAAAAGCAATAATATCATTTTCGTATCTATAGCCACATCTAAAAATTTAACTGAAACAATTACCATAGCAAGAGTGGTTAAAGCTAGAAATAATTATAAATAAAAACCTTTTGCATTAGCAAATATACAACAAGTAAGAAATGAATTAAGTGATCTAAAGAAAAGAATTGAAGGTTTAACAGTGAATTACTTGATCTTATATACACAAATGAAGGATATAATAAATAGATGTTTATAAAAAAACTTCTTTAGAGGATGTTTACCAAATAATTTGAAAGAAAAGAAAGAAAGAATAAAGTGTTATAATTGTGGTAAAACAGGACATATAGCTAGACATTGTATGTTGAAAAAATCAAAATATCCATACTTTAATAAAAGAAACAAAAAAGAAAATTTGACAAAAACTATTAGTTTTTGTAAATTAGAGAATGATTATAAGGAGGAAGTTTATATAGCAAATAATCTTATCTCTCAAAAGGTAACAAACTGTTTGGCAAACCCAAAGTGAGAAGAAAGACTACATAAAATAATTAGAATTTTACCAAAACAGCAAAAAAAAAAAACCAAAATATGAAAATTGATAACTCTCTGTTATTTAAAATTTATTTCTTTTAAATAAGACTAAAATAAAAAGAGGTCTATTAAAAATTGATGCTTTACAACTCTACAACATAGTAGATAATATTTTGTCCTTACATACTAATGCTACAGTAAGCCAAATACTTCAATATCTTAATCAAAAAAGAAATTTAGCTAAGATACTAAAATATTTATCAATAGTAAAAGAAGCAAAATTTGTAAAGAAATATTATTACATGACTATCACCTAATATTATATTCAGATTCAAACATAGCAATAAATATAATTTATAAATGCTTATTAGATAAACTAGGGCTAAAAATAAATGACAAATCTATAATTATAGTAGTTATAGCAACAGGAGCAAAGATCAAGACTTTAGGAAAAATTAAGGATATTAGAATAATTATACAAAATATAGTAATATCTACTACCCTATATGTTATAAAATTTTCAAATAATACATTATTATTAAGAACTGATTAGTTTTAGAAAACAAAGACTCAAATTTATTTTGATAAGTAAAAATTATATTTACAATATGCTAATAAATCAGCAGATGTTAAAATTTCTAATAGTAATACTGAAGGCCTTAAACTACATGAAGAGGAAGACATATATAGTGATAGTGGAAATACTTTTGATAAATTTAACTATAAAGAAAAAGAATTTGATAAATTTAAAAAAGAAAAGATAGAAAGTTAACTAGTTAATAAAGAAAATCCTATATTATACTTCACAAATATAGAAGAAGTACCTACAAAGAAAGATAAGAAAAAAAAATCTGTAAAAGAAATAATAGAAAAAATAGTTAATAACAAAGAATTAACACAAGAACAATAGTCTAAGGCAAAAGAATTTTTACTTATTAAAGAAATCTTATTCACTCTAAGTATTGAAAATATGAATTGTATGAATGTTACAACTCATAGCATTAATAAAATAATGTCATTCTAATTAAACAAGATTATTATAGAGCTGCCTATGAAGAAAACAAATTTATAAAAAAAGATAGATATTCTATAAAATAGATAGACAAACTCCACAAACTTCACAACTCTGTTAAATATCTATTAATGATTGCTAATTATTATTAAAATTTATTTTTATATTGCCCACCTATTCTATAGCACATTCAAAAAAATTAAAGAACAAGAACTAATAATAGAAATAAACAGTCTTTGGTCTTCTTTAATAGTCATACAGTAGTACTGAAAAAAAACAAAAAACTATACTTTTGTATAAATTACTGAAAGCTAAATACAGTTATTAAAAAAGAATATTTATCCACTTTTATATATCAACAACCTCCTTGATATATTTGAAACAGCCAAATAATTTTCTACATTAAATCTAATAAGTGAATATTAGTAAGTTGGAGTAAGCAAAGAAGTTATAAAAAAAACGATATTTATACTGAAATACAGTACTTATACTTTTAAGATAATACCATTCAGTCTCTGTAATACTTTGAAAATTTTTAAGACTAATGGATACAGTACTTGAAGACTATATTGGAAATTTTGCTGTGGTCTACCTAGATAATATAACTATAGTCAGATCTTTCTATAATCACTAAGTTAGGATAATAATAACTTTTTTTAAAAATATGCTTATAAAGAAATTGTGCTTATATAAAGGTTTTTTTATATTTTTATAATAATTTGTTTAACAAAATTAGGTGCTTATATAGAGGTGTAATTATATAAGAAGTAATTATAGAGAAGTTAGACTATATCTATTCAAATTCATTAGAAAAACATTTAGAATATTTAAAAATTATTTTTGACAAATTAAGAAAAGCTGAATTAAAGTTAAATTCAAAAAAATATACCTTTTTAAATCTGAAATTAATTAACTAAGATATGTAATTAATAAGGAGAAAGTAAGACCAAATAAATCAAAAGTAGATAAAATAAAAAAATTTTCAGTATCTGAAAATCTTCACCAATTGAAAGAATTTATTGTTTTAGCCTCCTACTATTGTTGTTTTATCAAAGAATTTGCTATGATAGCCCAACCACTTTATAAATTATTAAATAAAAATATTTGGCAAAAATATAATAGCAACCCATCGCTATGCGACCCTTATATGATCGACTAATCATTTTGAGATTGGCGATCATATATAAAATTTTTTTTTTATGTACTATAAGGCCATGCAAAATTAATTAAATGGTTTTCATAACCCGGCCGGGTCAAAATTTGAAAATTTCAAAAAAAAAAT